AGCCAAATGCATAAATATGTATCTATGTACATATGTAATCGTACGAGGATATATGTAAATCTATTTTTTGAAGTATAGAAATTTTTAATATTAAAAAATAAATAAAATATTTTTTTTTGTATTAATACAAATGAGGTTCAAGGCACATTGACCCACCTCTACAAAAATCGTGGGGCGTCATGGACAAAAACTTTACAATTTCGGACCGAAAAATGCGAAAACGAGCTAAGTTGCCACGTTACATTTGTGAACTTGCGATAAAAGTACATATGTTTGTGATTTTAGAAGTTTTGATTTTATTAAAATAAATTAATATATTTTCCTGCAGAAAACGTACACTTTTATTTAATGTTTACTAAAATTACATCTTAAGAAACTAGTTAATTATTGAAATATTGGTATGGAACATGGAAATAGATTGTTTTGCAAAAAGAATTAATTAGTTGCCACTTTTCACTTGGCTGGCCGAGATTTCTTCATTTTAAGATTTTAGAATTTTTGTGTCGGATTGAAAAAGTTGCGCTTAATGGTGATGAATTTACGGGGAGATGTGCTGCGATTGTTTTTATGAATGCATGTACTACTTGACCTTGAGAAATACGCGCATAAGTTTATGAATGAAATAGTTATCGGTTTATTATTTATTTTATTTATAAATTATTGGTTACCAAAATTTTGTCCATACTGGGAGCAAAAATTTTTACACATAAAAACGAGTAAGGTGCTTTTTTGAACTCGACCGAAACCACTTAGGCGGTTACAGCGCCAAACAAGAGGAAGAAGACGACCCAATTCAATGGTCTATTAAACACTTTCGTTTTTAACTGCAATTGCCTCTGAAATAAGTTCATATGTACCTATATTTTTGTTCAGCAATTAGTAGTAAATTGACCGTGTCATTGAAAAATTTAAAATGAACGCTTTTGATTGTGGAAAACATTGTTTTGGAAATTTCAAAATGCCAAACGTGCCACTGTTTTTTTTTTCAAGTTCATTTAACTATCAGAGTAATATTGTAAAAAATACCTTCAACTTTGCAATGCAATGGGGAGCAACTTTATGCCATATCATCAAATGAGCAAAATTAACCTTCGCGCATGAAAGCAAACAAGCGACAAACTGAAGTCGACAGCCCGCTAAGTGATGTGTGCGAGTGCTGGCGCTTGTCACATGCAGCAAATAGCGCAACATAGCAAAGAGCAAGCAACAAAAGCAACCTGCAATTTTCACTTTTTGGGGGTTGGTACTCCTATACAATGCTGGCTAATGGTCATGCGTGGCTGGTGTGGTTAATTATTTTTTTTTATTGCCAAATAGCAATGGGTTAATCCATGTCAAATCGGCCAATGTTTGGAATCAACAATTTTTGATTTGGATGAATTTTGGTCAGAACTTTTCTTTTATGCATAACGAACGCTTAAGGATATTTTTTCGAAAGTTCAAAATTTCACCATTTTCCCGATTTTGCAAGTTAGTTTTTTTGCATTTTTCAAACAATTTTTTTTACATAATTTTATAATTTTATTTTGAGTTTGGAAAACAATTTTTTTACTTTCTAAAACATATTTTACCTACATTTTTTATTAGTTAATTTTTGTATGATTTTTTTTAATTTCAAAATTATGTAAATTTTTATTTTCGAATTTTCTTTTTATATTTTTTATAGCACTAAATATCAAAGTTGAAATCAGACCGAAACTATTTTTGTTACTATAATAAATTTTGAGAGATTCAAATATAATCTTGCAAAAAACAGGAAGTTGTGCAGAGAATTTCGCACAATTTTGAAAAAAAAAAAATTGTAATTGTTTCCTTTGACAGAACTTTGTTGTATCATAAAAGAAAAGTTCTAACCAAAATTCTTCCAATCAAAAATGGTTGATTCCAACCATTGGTTGATTTGACGTGGATTGACCCCAACACAAAAAATATAAACAGTGGACAGTTACATGCATATGTCGAAAAAAATAAACAAAACAAAATTACCTTTAAACACACATGACACATTTCCATACTTGCTATGCTGCAGTAACATCAAATTTTTTATTCTTTAGTTTTTTCTTTGCATTTTGTTTTGTATAAATTTCATCAACGAGCCACAGTTGAATGCATTCGTTAACTACTTATATAAGTGTGTATGTACAAGTAGTGAACACTGTGGCTTTACGCCGATTAAAGCACACTTTGTTATTACATTTGGGTTTTTTTTTCAATAGTCAAATCAAATAATATTTCTGTTTTTTTTACCTTTTACCTAAAATTAACCTCATAAATTAAGCTACTATAAAAGCAAAAACGCATTTTTACTGAAATTATTTTGCTGTGCGTGGCTGTGCGGTGTGACAATAACTAAAATACCCAGATAACTTCATCAAAAGTAAAAGTAAAAGTCAAATTATGCTGTCAATAAAATTATTTGTGTCCTGCGTGCTTTTGGTTGTCAGCTACTGCGTGAGTTCAAAAAATAAGAAAAGAATGTTGTAGTGTTGTTTTTCTTGGTTTTCATATATGTACATATTTACATATTTTCTAGCGCGCCGAATCGCCGGAATTTGATTGTCAACGACCACCACGCTTAGTGGTAAGTAAACAAGTGTTTTCAGAAGTAACGCAAAACAAAAGACTTAAGCTAAGAACTTGAGATCTAATGGTCGACAGCCAAATATGTAAGGATAAGGTGTGAACAAATTGTGCGTAATATTTTAATACTGCTTAACTTCGACTGTTTTAAATACGCAATGAATATTTTGATGATTGTAACTGCAGCGAATCTCGGCGATAAGAAAGATCAGTGCGTTCAAATCAATTGAGCTAAGATTTGATCTGCTGCACTGTGCCTTGTAAAGCACATACAGCTCAACATTATATCCTCACCAATTTTGTTTGACAAAATTAGACTTAATTCCTCAATTGGATTCGCATCTTGATAGCGAAAAGAAACGAGGTCGCCTTCATTTTTCGAAACTATAATTGTGAAACAGTCACATAAGTGTCGAGGAGCAAATGCGTTATTGACTGTTTGTTTGATGAGAGGAGATACTCTTTGAGACATTCGCTTTGCTTTCAGTATTATTATAAATTAGAAAGAGAAAAAAACAAATAAAACAAGTTCCTAAAAATTAAAATAAATTAAAGAAGAAAAACATTTTTCTTTTTAAATTAATAAAAACTAAAAATTGATAGAATATTAACTTGAAAATGAAAAAAAATAAATAAAATATTTAAGTTTCTAAAAATGAAGTTAGGTCTTTTTTTCAAAAAAAGTCTAGAAATTAAATAAAACTTATTTAAAAAAAAATAAAATAAGTTCCTAAAAATTAAAATAATTATAAAAACGGGGTTTTTAAAGCACTAGATCTAAAAGGAAAAAAAACAAATAAAAACATAATAAAAATTAAACGAAATTAAAAACATGTTTTTCTGTTTAAATTAATAAAATCTATAAGTAAAAAGAAAACTAACCTAAAAAAATACATAAAATAAATTTATAAAAATTAAGTGCAACTAAGAAATAAACAATAAATTCTAAAAATGAAATTACTCGTAAAAAGAAACAAATATTGAATTTAAAAAAACTCGCTATGGCAGCGCCAGAAAATTGAAAATGCTCAAATGCTTTTTGTCAAGAGAGCTTTTTACTTTCGTGCCAGAGAAATATTACGTTCAACATGCCATATGTTTAATAATACAAAAATTTTCATAAATTTTGTAATTTTAACGTCTAGCAAAAATACGGCACGAGAAAACAATAGAAATGCATGGCACGCGTGCCATAACCTCAGCAATACAAATTTTAATTTTACATATCGAGCCCTAACTGCCAAAAAGATGAAGTGAAATTTTTTTTCAAAATTTTATTTTTGATGCAGAAATGCATCTAAAACATTTCTGCATTTATTAATGCAGTGCCACGAGTATTTTAATTATTTTTTTAATTTCTATGCTCAGTGTATATCCGGCTTTATTTCAATAAGGAGACATTGAATTACTTATCCACGAATTATTATAACCAAAATGCTTTAAAACTACTCGCAAATACTTTACACTCTATAACCTGCAGGATCCAACGCTTTGTTGTAAGGATGGTGGCTATGATCAGACCACAGAGGTTTGCGGCAAACGCATGGGTATAATCGGTAAAGGCAATCATGGGCCACCCACTGTGGAAAAAGCTACGGTACGTATGAGTACATACTTTAAAATAAAGATATCTTTCATAAAGTATATTGGAATAAATTTCTTACATCCCTTGTCAATTTTGGTTTAGAGACTAAGCGGTTTCGACGCTGTGACATCCTCAGTGTCCCAAGAGAATGCCAACATGACACTGAATATGGCACAAAGCCGAAACTGATTTGCCTCCCAACCAAAATTGACAAAGAATGACGAAAATTTGTTCCAAAATACATCATACACCAACCCTGTCGGTGTCCTTAATTTTTGTCCTCCATCCCGGCACAGTGCTTCGCCGAGTGCATTCTCAGAGAACTGCATTACATTCAAGAGCCAGAGAAGCTCAACTACGAAACTATGCAAACTGATATGCAGGCCAAATACGGCAATGACACCGTCTTTGTGGACACAATGATGGGAGCGTTTCGCAAGTGTGAGCCTGATGTACAACAGAAGTTGCAAGCATTCAAGCAAATGACGCTTCTTGGTGCTGCTGCCGCACTACGACGTGGCTGTAGTCCATTCTCCGGTATGTTACTTGGTTGTACGTATATGGAATATTTCAAAAATTGTCCGGCACATCGCTGGACTGAGACTAAGGAATGTGCGCTCGCGAAACGATTTGTTACACAGTGTGCTTTGGGTGTAAAACAAACTTAAATATTAATTAAATACATATATGAATTCATGCATGCAATTAACAATATATTCAAGTTGATACGGCAGAAAAAATATGTGTGTAAACATTTGATAAAATTTAGTACAAATAAATATTAATAAAAAATAAGTATGTAAGAATTTTCGCTTTTCCAACAACACATTTTGTATCAAATATTTAATTTACTTGCGAGATTTAGATGAAAGTCTTCGGGCAATGCAAAGGGATAAATGAAATCATTGCGATGTTTTCTCAAGAAACGCAACAACGTCTTCTCTACCTCCGATGTGTATTGCAAATTGGCCATCTGACGTTTCAGGAATGTCTTGCGCGCCTTACGATCCATTACCTGGCCCTGGTCAAGTGCAATGTTTATTCAAATATATCTTATATTATGTCCAATTCAAATGCCTCTTACCCAATTCATAATTTTCTTGGCTGTGTCAATAGTTAGCGTACGAATTTTGCGACGTAAATCATTAAATTCAGAATGCATAATCAGCTCCGTCCATGGTTCCTCAAAGAAATCAATAAAACTTTTGATTTCTTGCAAATACCAACGGGCATGCAAATCATTCAATAATGCCTCGTGGTGGCCCACAAAATATTGCAGATGATCGAAACTGCGCTTCTATGCGAGCACAAATGGAAATAAATATGGGTGAAAAATCAAAAATTTTAAATTATTATGAATGGGCATTAGATCGTGCCACCTTAAAAGCAAAAAAAAAATATATTATAAAAAACGTAAAAAGTTGGCCCCTACGTTCGGGGAAAACAATTTCTTATTGAAACTAACTTGCTAAAATACATTTGTTGGGGGTGTACGGTGAACTTTTTTTTCACCCGGTACGGTCTAATGCACATGTACATGCTACTTTTTTGATGCGAACTTACAGTTTGTGATACAACCACTATCTCCTCTACGATGCCATGCACATTGATGCGTACTCTTGAAAAATTACCATCGTATGTGACTAGCGAGAGCATATAGCTATTATCTAAATGATTTGCAATATATCGCTTAGGCAGAATCACTTTAGCCATATAATAGCCTAGTGGCAATTGAGCTTGAAAGTAGACTGGTAGTAAATATTTCTCAGAATATTCAACAACATCGTCCTCCATCAAATTGAGCCCATGTATTAGCTAGAAAGAGTAAAAGCTTTTAATTAAAGATTAACCAGCATTCGCTTAGAATATAAAACGTAAATATTACGTATTTTGTTAAGGCTGCATACGAGTACAATATAAAATACTTACATAAATATGTACATATCGAGGGCTTAATACTGATCTTGTATAGCGCTTGACAAAAGAATTTACAATAAAATTGCAAAGTAATAATTAACAACAGTAATGACAGGTATGTAAATCCCAGATGGGTTCTAACGTGACAAAGTAGTTTTTGTGAAAATTGCAGATAGAGGGTATTGAATATAAGCCCTCGATATCGACACCTGAGTGGAAGATTATTTTATTTAACATTACATATGGGCATTCCCATGGTGGCGCACGTGACAGTCGTACGATTTCAATGTGATACAAAAAAGGAATACCATTTGTTTTCTTTAACTTTTTTGGGCCATTGTATAGCACATAATTAGCTCTATATTTAACCGAAAAATTAAATCAATCGAACTGCTTGGTCCTGAAATATAAGCATTTAAAGAGGGTGTCGTTACGTGACAAAAAATGGAAGTTGATTTTTTTCTTTTCTTACAAAATCGCAAAACTCTGCGAATTGTGGATGGCTATTTTGATGAAACTTATTTTGATATGATTTGGAGCAATTCTAGTTGTTTTTAGAGTTTTTTTAATTAATGCAAATTGTTTCAATTCTCTTTTACAACCCCAAGTGTGAAACGTGGCGTGACGTGACATAAATTTCCATCGTTATATTTTTGTTAATATTGCTTTTAAATGAATTTTCAGCGCAAATAAAACATGTATTTTATGTAGAATATACTTTATATTTTGACTGCAGCGCCAATTCAGGGTCAATTTATTAGAAATCTATGATTTATTATGTTTCAACCACATGCGCCAAATTCGAACCAAATCGGACCATAAATACGGTTTTTCGAAATATCTCGACCTTGGCACCACCTAGGAAGACCAATTTATGCAAACATTATTCTTCTTACATAGCCAGTATATATTTTGAAAAGCAGACAAATCGGCCCGTAAGTACGTTAGATATAAAACTTTTATTTTTTTTTTGTCGTGGTGGACCTTCCGCTGGAAACACCCATATCGATGGCTGAGTGGAAGATCGACCTATCTCGGCTGCCAGTTCGAAAACGCTATATCTCAAAAAACTTTTCAAGAACGCCCTATTTCAGGATTTTATTGAAAAACACCCTATCTCAAAATTCGGTTCAAAAATGCCCTATCTGACTTCAAAATGTATTGAAAATATGCTGTTATAGGGCGTTTTTGAATCGGCAGCTGAGATAGAGCGTTTTTGAAACGAATTCTGAAATAGGGCGTTCTTGAAAAGTTTTTTGAGATAAAATGTTTTCGAACTGGTTGCCGAGATAGGTCGATCTTCCACTCAGCCATCGATATCATCTTATTTGTTTACATGTTGTTTTGTAGGTGGTCTCATATTTGAATTCGATCAGACATAATATCAAAAGGATAATATAAAATTTTGACCTTTATTTTATTCGTCCTGAATACGAAAAAGAATCTGCGAAGTGCAGAAAGAAAGTGTATTGAAAGTAATTTTTGAATGAGGATAATTAAATAGAAACTTGTAAAGAAAACCAACTCTCGATAAGGTCTGCATGACTACTGCATGACTTTACAACTAACTTAAAGTTAGTTTTATCATAGCTAATTAAGGGTTAGTTATTTATCGAAGTCCCGCAAAAAAGCTAACTAGAAGTTGGTTATTTTAATCCATTGATAATTTTTTTTCTGCAGGGATATTAGTCCTTAACGTATAATTTTACCTAAAATAAATATTGCTAACTTTCAAGTATATTCCAGGATAAAATGGTAAAAGAACATTTTCAATAACTACTCGTCCTTATGCACCGAAAAATGTGCATCTGCTTTATTTCAACAGAATTTTCTATATTGCATAGAATGTTTTTGGGAGTAATCGTATTTTTCATTTTTCAAAGTTTTACTATACTTGTGACCTGGGTTCGCGAATTTATTGAGTTTTGTGTGTAAATAAATAAATATAAAATTTTGCCTAACGAATTTCCTTACCTTAGCCGCTATTTCATCTTTTGCACAATGTTTGTATTGATGATTCGGAGTCACTCTCAAGCGGGTGCAATTTCCCACAACAAAGATATTCGGATCACTAGTGCGAAAATGTTCATCGATTAATATTCGAGAATCCTGCATTTCAATTCCTGCATTTTCCATTACTAAAGTGCACAGATGTAAAACATTTAGCATTGTGGAATATTTTTAAATAAACCACTTGCATCGCACTTACTATCCAATACATCCGTGCCGATGATGTGCGTATGAAAACTGACAAATAGATCACAAGGTAAAGTCATAACATCACCGTCAGGATGATGTTCGAATACAGCATGCGATATAATGCATTCACCCTGATAATATACCCATTCCTTTAGAATCCAATTTGATTCAAGTTTTACACCTAAATCCTCAGTCATCTCCTGTAGTATTAACTCAATATTAATATCCATATTGCTTATATTGTACTTCGCGTATGATGCATGTCCTTCCGCATCCCATGGCATAACCAAAGTAATGTTTTGCGCTGGTGTTTTGTGCTTAAGTAGAAAATTAATAAATTCAAAAGTGCCTAAACGTGAACCGAAAACGATTATATTGATATCATTGGCATTGCGATCATTCCAAATGGCTTGGAGTTTATAATAGAGCGTTATTTTATCGAAACGATTGTTCAAGTGCATATAGTTTGTTGGGCGTGGGCAACGCTGTACGGCTGGTGGTACACCAAATCGCTGACTTAATGCAAAAATTAGACTATGATAATAAAGCTCGCAGCCGTTGGCCAAGATCAATTTGCGTTCGTCTCTGTAAAATAAAGTGTAAATGTGCGCTTGAGCTAAATTGACAAAGTAGGTAGAAGGAACTTTAGCAATAAGCCTGTACAAATAGTTAATATAATAGACAATATGGTTAGCAAAAAAAAATTTCACTAATCTGTATTTTCTACCGTTTATGGGCTTAGGCCAAGACCGAAAACCTTCGCCAATTGCGTTTTTCCTTGCTGAAACTCCGTCAGTTACTCACACCAAGTGTAGATAGTTCCTTCTATTCTTGGTTCTTCCACTGTACTCGTGTGTGTCCATGCTTTCGTTGTTCGTCCATGTTCGCCATGTACACGATGGTAAAAACTCCTACTATTCATCATTCGATCTTCTTCGGAGCCACAGATCTTGCCTATAATAGTTTTCCCTAAAGTCCCCTTTTTGGTAGACTTGCAATTTTTAGGATGTGAAAAATATAGGAGTGTTTGAGTAAAGTCAACTTGATATGCTTCTAGCCGACCCGCCTTACACAAATTTTCAAATGCACACAGTTGCGGCGGACTACTAACGGACTCCTCCGCCATAGAATACAAAAGAATACTTTGAGGCAGTGTGGTGCGTAAATTAATAATTTTAAAGCTCGCTATAGTGCAGCATATTCAATATGGTCTATCTATGTTAGTTATCGAAAGTTATCAAGTTAAAGAAATTTATCTAAACATCGATATTGTTATCAAAATTGATCAATTAATCCATGTTTATTGAGTATCAATTACTCAAATTGAATTGAATGTTTATTAAGTTGTCGAAATTTATAGACAAAGAAACTTAGTTGTCGATAGTTATCGAGCTATAAAAATTTATGCGATTATCGAAATTTGTCAAGCTAATTAAATTTATCAAGTTATCGATATTTATCGTATTATCATTGCTTATGGAGCTAATAAAATTTATCGAGTTATCGTAATGCATCGAGTTTTTCAACCCATGGAGTTAACAATATTTATTGCTTTACTGAAATTTATCGACCTGCCGAATCAATGGTTTTGATGGTTTGAAACATTTCGAGTTATAGAAATTTAAAGTGTAACGAGTCATCGAAATTTGTCAATAGTTTTCGGGAAATATGGAGCTACCAAAATAAACCGAGTAAGCGGGATTTATAGAGGTATCCAAAGTTTATCGAGTTATTGATTTATATGGAGATATATACATTTTTGAGTTATCGAAATTTATCGAGCCCTCGAAACTCACAGGTATCGAAATTATCGAAACAAGTAGATTTTGCGGATTTTACCACCGAAATCAAAATCATCCGCAAAAATAACGAAAGTTTCGGAGGCTTGTGGCTGCGCAAGCATTAAATTTACCGCTATTCTGCAATCACAAAGTTATGCCAACAATTGAATTATATATTTCGCTTACCTTTTGATTTTCTTCACATCGGAACTAACGAATGAAAAATATTTGCGGAAATCCATGCAACTAATGGTGTCCCGTATAAAACTGTTACTATTTTCCCAGTTTATGTAGCAGTCATTTTGATTTTCACAGATCTCACATTCAAAATTGCGATCGTAGATGCCTTCCACAATGCCCACCGATGAAATTATGGTAACGCGCCAGCGTGGCAGACAACAATGACATTTCAGTGCGCTAAATACATATTAAAAAAAAAAAATGCAAACGTTTAAAAAAAACTAAATTAAGTACATACAATAAAGTGTACCTTGAGTTTTTAAAGTTGAAGAGAAGTATTCGCAGTAAAGCGCGAGTCATACTATTGAAGCCGAGTATGACAATGTGTTCTGAATTGCCAAATGGTTTGGATGGGAACAAATTGTGATAATATATAGCAACATTTTCATTTTCAAAGTCCATTTGAGGTAGGAGTTCTTCAGAAATCGCAGATGTATGTTTTTTGTATTCCCGGCGATGTATTTGTGCGATTTCTCGCGGTTCTATGGGCTGCATTTGTTTCACCAAATCGTTGGTAAGTGGCTTGACACTACTCTGTGTGAGGAGATAATTGTTGAGAATTGATTGACAATTAATGGTATACGAGAACCGCTCTCAGCTATTCAGGGATTGTGAAATCACCGTTATCTCGACAACAATACTAAATAGTAAGCGTTTTTTTTTCTAACACAGTCGAACAGCCACCAAACTAGACTCCAAATTCATGTATGAAATCGAACGACTAATTTGTGGCTGATAAGTTTTATCCGAACTTGCACGAAGGTCGGCTGTAAAAGTACTAACCGTTCTATCCTACAACAGCTGCAACAGCAAAAGTCTGTGAACTTTGTAACAAATGCCTGTAATGCTGCTTTCAAAGCCTCCTGCCCAAGCACCCTCCCGAAGGGCAAGAAGAAACCCCTGTGGTGGAATCCCGAGATTTCAGCACTGAGGAGGCTCTTCAATCAAGCCAAGCGAACAGGTCTTGGGCAACTCCACAAAGACGCACCCAAAGACTTCAAGAAGGCCATAAAGAGGGCGAAACACGAATCTTGGGAAAACATCTGAAACAACATAGAAGAGAACTCTGAAGCCAACAGGCTGAGGAAAGTTCTGTCGAAATCTTTTTCAAGTATGAACTGTATCCAGAAGTCTAACGGTGACTGGACGTCATCATGTAACAAAATGCTGGTCCTTATGAGCACTAACTTCCCGGGCTGCTTGGACGACACCTCCGATAGTTCACCCGGTCCTTGAACCTACTTGTCCCTGCGTGATACCGTTAGGGCCGTCGTAAGTGATGAAAGGGTGGAGCGGGCTTTAATTTTGTTTCAACCTTTCAAATCTCCGGGACTTGACGGAATCTTTACCGCTCAACTACGAGAAGCTAAGGACATTCTGTGCCCTCTGTCTTCTCATATTTTTACAGCTTGCTTTACCCTTGTGCTTGACATTTCTTATTATATATATGTAAGTCAGAGGGTCTATCAGTGATCTCAAACAGGGAGGAAGTGAAGCTGATTGGCCTGAAATCCATTGGGTCAACTACAGATTTTTCTCCTGTCCTGGGAATGAACAGGCCGCCAATTACTCGGGATATACCCAAGGTCTACGCAACTCGCGTAAGTCAACTACACGATACCTCTATCTACCATCCCGGTAATGTAAGGAAATAAAAAATCTTTGCTCAACTTCATTCCAAAGATGTAGTCCTCATACGAAAATCCCTTAAAATCTCAAAATTCATAGAAAGGATAAAATGGTTTCCTTAGGAAATGCCGAAGAAACAAATATGTACACCTCACGTATTCAATACTTACCATAGTCGATTGCAAGCAATAGAACTCACCGAACCCGGTGGCACAGGATATTTGTCGAAATATGGCATCAGACTCCCAAACGTAATTAGGATGTAGTCTTAATAAAACAATTTCGGCTGGTGTTTGTTTAAAACTTAACTCATTACACGTAAGATGATATTTGTGCTCCAATTCGTGTAGCCTGTAGAAAGGTCTGAGTGGGTAAGAAAAAAAGACAAGCTTTTTATATTACTACCTGCTGCATTGTAAGTATGTATGCACTTGTATGAATGTTACTAA